CCACTGCAAGAGAATCTCATTCTCTCTTAAATAATCTAAATTTTATTTTTTAAGATACTCTCACTTGATCGAATCTTAATGTGAGGGTATCTTTACTTATTTGTTTCTCTAATTCTAGAATGAATCCCTTGAACTTGTCAAGAGTTTCATGTTTGAGTTTTTATCAAGTATACATCATCATTGATGAAATAAGAGAAACATTACCTGACATTAATTGACACGAGTCCATATGCATCACTATGCATTAGACTAGTAATTATGCCAACCTTTCTTCTTTTCAAGTAAAAGAAGATTTGGTTATTGTGTCAGACATGCATAATTTGTACTTGTCAAAATCAATTAATCCCAAGAATACATCTCTATGTAACTTTGAAATTGCTTTTCATCTATATGACAAAGTCTGCCGTGCCAAATTTAGGTAATAATTAGATTATAGCATTTATACCTTATAATTTCTATACTCATTATAGAATCTTTAGTATTAAAGAATATAAATGTCGTTTTGTAATTTACCATAGCCATTAGGATCTTCATCAAGATAAACAAGAATAACTATTGTCCTTAAAATTAAAATAGTTCATGTTCGAAAATGAAATTCATTTTAATGTTCCAGCTTTGGTTGGTATAAAGCGACATTTCTATAATTCCAATACTAAACTAAAAGGCAATGGCAAGAAGTATATTCATACAGGCAATGCAGCAACCTTTACTCATCTCCACCGTGTATGTCAACTTCTCCCTTTCGCAATGGTCTACTTCTATTTAGTTTCTCCATATTTGTATAAATACGAGATTTATAGCTAGTATCAGATACCTAAGAAACTCGTGAAATAGACATAAGCCACGCTATATTCCTTCCAATGACCTTTCATTCTATAATGAAACCAGGGGTCATTAGATTTGGTATTGTCCTTCGTTTAGACTGTCTTAACCATATTGGATGCTTTCCCAAAGTCCCTCTAGACTTCCTCTTAATACCCTTAGAGGAATCAATGGTTTGCCCACTACCAACTTTGATAAAGGGTTTAACAGTCCTAAGCATGTTAAGCAATTTAATGAGTATGCATTCGAGCTTATTCATATCATAATTCGTAATTAGTATGAATAATTCTATGACAGAGATTGCAGAGCTAAGTCAATACTTAGTTCATAATTAATGATTGAACTCAGTTGAGACACTTCTCATCTTCAGTACATGAGAATTGACTGAAAACTCTTTTGTCACTTTGCATCGGTATAGTTGTTTGAAAGTCTCATATCATTCCACACATGATTATTATCATACAACTCTTTGTAATGACGAATTATGTGTTAACATCTATACTCTCAAGTTGCTTTTGTAACTCAGGTGACATAGTTGCAGGTATTACATAATTGTAGTACTATTGTCATTATTGCGTTCATTATAGCAGCCATCTCTTCCTTAATTGAGTCATCACAAGATGTCTTTGGAAAATGGCTACTTAAGGACAACCAACTTTCTCATGCTTGAGAACAATTCTCAAATTGCAGTGCCAATCAAGAAGATTTAATTTGGTTGTTAGCATCAAATATGCATCTCAAATAGACATGGTTACTCACGATTCAATAAATATAAACGATGAAAAGAAAAAAATAATATATAAAATGCATAAATTAATTTAACATGGACTTTTATTAAATTAATTATGCTCTCACTGTTTAATATAAATTTATGACCCTCTTACATAAATTTATGGAGTCCATACTTGACTCCCGGTGGGCTGGGATCTCATCTATTATATTAAGATCTTGAGTGTACTCAACAAGCCTTAATATAACATTTGAGTAGATACTATTATCAATTGTATCTCCATACAACTCTCAGATCATTAAGCTGACAACTCTTTATTTTCACACATCTTATGTGTTAGCTTAACATGCCTTTAAAATTTATCTCTTTGAGTGTTCTCAACAAAAGATAAATTTTAATTAAGTCAAACCCGTCATTCAGAAATATCAAATATTTTATAGTGTCAAATATATCCCTGATGGACCAGCCTTGAGTGTACTCAACAAATTGAGACGATTTGGGACTCTGATTTTTCACTATAACGATGGAAGGCGATTATAAATATAACTTAATATCTTATGGAGGGATTTCGCATTGAAAGGTCTCATCGTAACAATAATATATATTTTATTATATATCTACCATGCAAATAAATAAATAAATAAATATATACATATATATATATATAACATTATATAATAGTGTGGACAATAATTGACTTTTACTAGCTAGTCTTTCCGAGCAATAAGGAAGACTAGTTGATTAATTCTTAGGGGGTATAGCATTGAACAGTATCAATGCACCATCTCCATGGTCTCCTCCTCCTTTTGTCTCTTCAATTTGTCCAGTTGCAACCTGTATCCTATATTAGTTGGCACACAGGCCTAAATGAAATTGGACTCGCAAGCCCACAGCAATAATAATAATAATAATGGACTCGCAGGTCCAAAATGATCAAGAGTTCGCAGGCCCAAAATAATAACAATAATAACGGGCTCGCAGACCCAAAACAATTAAGAGTTCGCAGGCCAGAAAACAACAAGAATAAAAATTAACCATTCAACACATCCTTATGGTCGAGTCCATAATCATCCACTAATAATACATTCATTATATAAATGTATACCTATATAATATCTAATATTATATGCAAATAAGTTTCAAGTTTCTAGCAATTAAGTCGTCTAAACTCCTTTAGACAATTAAATAATTAATTAATCATATTAATCAATTATTTAATTAGTGGCCATATTTAATTAAAATCAAATTTCAGTTAAATATCAAATTAGAGTCCAACTCTAATTCAACAATTATATGGCGGGATTATTTAATTAAAATCAAATTTTAATTCAAAATCAAATTAGAGTCAAACTCTAATTTCAAAATTTAAGCCAGTGGAATTTAATTAAAATCAAATTTTAATTAAATTACAAAATTAGAGTCTAACTCTAATTCCAATAATTAAGGGCGAATTTATTTAATCAAAATCATATTTCAATTAAATACCAAATTAGAGTCCAACTCTAATTCAAAGAAGAAATTTAGGGCGAGACGATTGAATTAAAATCAAATTTTAATTAAATGTCAATTAGAATCCAATTCTAATTTCTAAAAATATCTTTGGGTGAAAAATTAATGAAAACCGAATTTTAATTAAGTCCTAAATTAAAGTCCAACTCTAATTCAAATTGAATCAATATTTTAAATTAGGATAACACTCGTAAATAAAATAAAATTCAATTGGGGTCAAAATTTAATATTTAAGTTAAAATCCAATTTTAACGAAAATATAAAATGTCGTTAATTTTTAAATAAGATTTTAATTTAGGTCAAAATTAAAATTCTAGTCAAAATAGGTCAAAATCCATTTAAAAACAATTTAAAACCATTTTAATACTTATATTCAAAACACCTTTAGAAATGTGCAATTTGACCCATTTTAAAATTATGAATAGGCCCTCCAATTCACGAAATTGCAAAGATGCCCTTCAATAAAATAATTGCAACCTTGACCCCTTAAAACAAAATGCCAAAAAAAGGGGTCCTTAATATTAAATATTGCAAACCGACCCTCATTTAAAAAATTAACAAATTGACCCCATAAGGATATTGCAAACAGGGGCTTGCAATTTCACAAATTATGTCAGAGGCCCCCACCTCCATTTCACCCAAAACCGACTGAAACCCTAACAATTTTTTTTTTTTTTTTTAGATCATTGTTCCTACTCTTGGCTTACCGGCGCCGCCTCAACAACGCGGCAAGTCCCGCTGCCTAAAGGCGGCGGGCTCTTGCCAACCGCTGTCGCTTGGGCATGTAGGCGCCGCTTGCGCCTGCTGCAGCAAGCCGGCGCCAGCGGCGCACCGGCTGCCGTCCGATCCCACAAATTTATTTTATTTTATTATTTTTTTTTGTATGTTTTCAGAACCAGATTCCAAAAATTAAGAAAATCAAATTTTCTTCAATTGTTAGAAACCTGAAAAAGGAATAACAATCAACTTTTGATTGCACAAACACGCAAGTCAATTTCTAACAAACACAAAGGAGGCTCTGATACCACTGTTGAGAATCTACTTATACATGCACATCGAAAAATTAAAATTATTTCGATTCCTACCGAGGATCCCTTTGTGTTTAGATAAAAATCGTGATAAAGATTGTGCTTTTGAAGAATTCTGTAAACTTTTTGCTTTTCTCTTCGTTCCAGCAATCTTGATTCGCCATCCACAGCTGTCCAGTTGTCCAGCTTCCAATGGTGATCTACACAGAGAATAAGATTGTAACTACCAGGGTTTTCTCATCTTGTGCTAGTAAGAATAATTATGAGAAAAACCATATGGATTGAAGACCCTGGCCTTGTATTTATATAAGCCCAAATGGGCTTGGCCCGATCCGGTCCAATATTTAATTAATCCATTTAATTAAATCCGATCCGTGAATTAATTAATCCAATTAATTAATTCGGGCCTATACCCCCCTCCCCCCCCCCCCCCCCCCCCCCAAAAAAAAACCACCCAAAAAACCCCCCCCCACCAAAAAAAAAGACAACCAGAATCAGCCTATAAAAATGCCAAACTTGTGTCTTCATTATGAGGAACATGAGTGATCCACTATATCCCGAAATGATAGGCAATTGTAATATTGATGAAGAAACATCGTTGGTGGCAGTAGAGGAGGGGCCGCAAGCAGGTGTATTTTTAATTTTTTTTAATTTTAATTTTTTTTTTATAAAATCGATAAATTTGTGTCCGTAACATTTTTTTATATCAGTAATTGATGAATTTGCACATTGTTGTTGTCCATGTTCTTTCATATTCTTAGAAGAGGACTACATTGTTGAATTTTTTGGTGCTTTCTTATAGTTCTTAGCCTGCTATATAAGTCTGTCTTCTAGTATTTAGGTAGTTCATCGTAGCATGCTATATAAGTTTGCGTCTCTTTAGCGTTACAATACTACCTATTTCTTTGCAGATAATAGACTTGAAGAAAAGGAAGTGGTACGTGATAATTACAAATTGACTGATTTAGATGATGATTTTCATTATGACATGAATGACAAAGAACAAATTTTTGTTGGATTAAATTCAGATCATACCGTCGATCTTTTGAGATGTTATGAGAATATTATAAGCCCTATCAATGGAACAAAATCATAGCCTCGAGTTGTTGCTTCCCCAATCAAACCACCAGAATGGTTTGTGCCTAAAAAGGGAAGAAAAGAGAAGCGGAGACATAGATAGGAAGAAGATGTAATAACCCATTCGGGGTCCAAAGCAAAGTTGAATAAGAGGGGTACCATGGTGAAATGGCTGGTGTATGGTTCAATGAAATTGAAATTTTATATATTGGCGTATAGTTTAGTTTGGTTGGAATCTCATATGTAACTTTTACTTTGTGGGCAAATTTTATACAAGTAACATTACGCATTTACTTCATTTATAGTATCATTTGTCAACTTGTTTGACTTTGTTTATAGTATTCACTTACAGCATGACCTTCATTCCTTGACATGTTGAGTGGCATGATAATTGGAGGTTAAGTAATCATCTATACAATTGAATTTACAATACTAGAAGTGTGAAATTTTCTTATATTTTGCATATGTCAGGGTAGCTCATGATCCTAGCTATGGGGAATCAACGGTCCATACAAATATGCTTCATAATTTTGCTTACCTTCCGAAGCCTAAAATTGTTTATGCTATTGGTTTGTTCTGCGGCTGAGTTCTCTTGCTATGAATCTCATGTGCACTTTCATTTGTAACATATTCTACAGCTCACAGCGTTCATGTTTAAGACAATGTTTTTAAAGTTTGCCAACAAATCAAGCAAATAACCTATTTTCATAAAGGTTATAATTAACTGACTATGCAGTATTAGGTTTTCTCTTTCTTTCAGCATCACATAAACTGTGACAGGACTCTCCCTGTGTTGTTTAAACAATTTGTAAATCAGAAGAGAGAAAATATCGTAAGGTAAACCTAAAGGAACTCATTTCATTAAAAACATCAAAACATATGGCTTCCTTTGATGATTGTACAAAAATTGACAATCACACAACACCAGAGCCGATTTTGGACAGAGAGGCAGGTGAGACCCATGCCTCAGGCCCAACAATTAAAGGGACCTCAACACTTTATTTTTATTTTTTTGATACATCGTTCCTATTCATCTAACAATCTTCCTCTGTGCCGGTGCATGCGAGAGGTGAAGAACCAAGAAGGCAAAAGTCTAGTTCTCTCTCGACAGTCTGTCACCATCCATGCCACTGCGTGCATGCCTACCGGTATAAAATCTGATTTCTATATATTCAATATTCGTTATTCTCATTTTTGCCATCCAACAATTTCTCAGATGAAGTGGTGATGTGATCCGCATAAGGCAGTTTCATGATAGAGTTTTCAGAAATTTCGCAAGTTTCCTATTTTGATTCGAAGTCTAATCTTTTCCATATTTAAGTTATTTTGGACGTTCTTTTCCAATTTTAATTAGATTCTAGGGTTTTAGTATAAATAGGGGTTATATTTTTCATTGTATTCAGAATTTTTGACATGATGAATTAAAATAGAGAATTTTCTCTCGGGAAGCTTGCTTCAATTCTTGTTCTGGATGGAAAGAAATCGAACTTATCAAGATTAATAGTCTTCAGGCGTTCAAACTTAGATTTTGATTCTATAATTCTTTGTAATCAAAAGGTCGGCATATCCATATGATTGTGATAGTTGTTTGATTCAAGGTTATTGGGTCAGATCTACAAAATCGGGTGATATTCAATTAATTTGAGTAATCAAGAGGTCCACACATCGTCGGCGATTCGGGTTGCTTGGTTCCAAGTTTGTTGGGTTTAATCCAAAACCTTGCTTTGGCCTTTTTGGGGACGATTTCAATCTTGATTATGGGTTTGGTAGTGATTGACTACGCGGGTTCACATCAAGTGGGCTGAATAGGATTATTTTATTGAAATTTGTCTTTTTATTGTTGATAAGATGGAGTCTTTACTGGGATATGATTTGTTTCCCACTTTTCATGCGTTCAACTCTAACTCAAAGCAAAGAGAGCTTTTGATAATTTATTGTTAAAAAATCAAGATAAAACTTGAACATGGATTGATAACAATTTTTTGCTTTGAGATTAAGATTAGTACTTTAGTAGAACGACATAAACAAACCCGATTCATGTTTCCTTGGAGGTTTATTAGTGCACATCTCAATTGTAAGAAATATAGGAATCTTATATATTGTACGGGTGTAATTTAAAGGTGTTGACATAATTTGTAGGTGCCAAAGGTATTAAATCTATCTTCACGTTTAATTTATGTTTATCTTCAATAATTAATTGGTTATTGTGGTTGTTGTTAATTTTCACTCATGGATTGTGAGTTGTCACGGTAGAATTCTCAAAGTGCTGCATAATAACATAAGTTTTGCTCAAGTCCTATTTCTCAGGTAAACAATGGCCTGCCCTTGCTTATATATAAATATATAGAAAATGCTTGAAGTTTTGTCTTCTTATATGATTGCATTGCAGTTTTGCACCCTTGTTGGGTTATATTAGCTTTTGTTAGATTTAATCGTAAGATCAATCTCATTGGCGCATGTAGTGATTATGTTGAAAAATTTAGTTTAAGATGATTGAGATGTTTTCTTATTATCATTTTAGTTTAATCATTGGGCAGTAGTCATATGCCATGCTTTCTAAATATGAGTACGGAGCTCAAAAAAGGAAATGGAAATGAAATTAGTTGTTATTAATTGAAAGCCAAGCAGAAGATATTGATAAGTACTTCAATAGAAACAACGTGAATGAATTTACTAAGAATGAAGAAGTGATACATGCTATAAGTGTAAATGAGATAGAAGAGAAGGAAGAAGATGACGTTCAAGGTAAAATTTAAATCAAGTGAGTTGCTTTTGTTTGCATTTGGGGATCCCAGGAATTGGAAAAATATTTATCAAAAAATGAGGGATTATTTAGTAGAAATGTGCCCCAAAAAAATTTTGATGGTATCTTGTTTCCGAAAGATGGTGCAAATAGAGATTTCGATTCTTCACTATATAAGCGATTACTACCAAATGGATAGACAATTGATAGAAGATGGCTAGTATATTCAGTGTCTACGGACATGATCTTTTACTTTTGTCGCAAGTTGTTTAAAACACCAAAAACTATGACAAAAATGGCCACGTAGTTAATGATGGATACAAAGATTTGCATAATTTGTACTAATCTATTTAAAGTCATGAAGGAAATGAGGAGCATTTATGTTGCATCACTAGTTGGATTGAATTGGAAAAAAGGTTTTCAGCAAAAAAATAGAATTGACAAAAGCATGCAATGGTGATCGATGCAGAAAGGGAACATTGGAGACAGGCAATTGTTATTATGAAAAGACTTGCCAAAAACACCTTGACATTTTGAGGAGATGAGAGACTTCATGTTGAGAACAATGACCTATTTTTGCAAATCGTAGAAATGGTTGTCGAGTTTGATCCAGTAACGCAAGAGGACATTCGGGCATGCTAAAGCATGTGACATTCAATAGACATATCTCGGTAAAACAATTTAAAATGAATTGATACAATTGTTGGCTAATGAGATGAGAAGTTCAATTATCAAGAAAGTTAAACATGCAAAATATTTCAGACGAAAGTCACGAGGAACAAATGTCTCTAATAATACAATATATAGATAATTCATCAAACTTACCGATGTTAGAACAATATTGGCTTGATTTTTGAAAGTGGATGATACATCAGGACTTGGACTGGCAACCGAGCTTCAAAAGGTCTTAATCAACCTTGATCTTGATATTGATAATATTAGATGACAAGGGTATGACAACTGATCTAACATGAGCGGGAGATACAAATGTGTACAAAGAAAGATTGCTTGAAATGAATCACAGAGATATCTATACTCCAAATGGTGTCATAGTCTTAATTAGGCATTATGTGATATGGTGAATTATTGTCCCAAAGCCGTATTCTTCTTTGAAGTGATACAACGAAACTACGCATTGTTCTCTTCTTCTACCTAGAGATGGAAATTTTTTAAAGATAATGTATAAGGTTTGACAGTGAAGCCAATGTTAAAAACACACTGGGAAAGTCAAGTTGAAAGTATAAAGGCTATAATGGAACAAACTGCACAAATAAAAGAAAATTTAGTCGACTTGCTAGAAATGAATGAAGATCCTAAAATAAAGAGTGAAGGTGAGTCTTTAACAATATATGACCTTCATAATTTTAAGTTCTTGCATGGCATTATAATTAGGTACAGGTTGTTGCATGCAATCAATAGTGTAAGTAAATATCTTCAAAGGGTAATTGGCACAAAACGTTCCTACCTTTCAAGTTTATTGTGGAAAACGTCACAACCTTTCATTTTTTGGCATTTTCGCCCCAACCTTTTACATTTCTTTGCGCAGAAGGTTATTTTCATTATTTTTTGACAATTTTACCCTCTTTCAAACAAAAGAAAAAGAAAAAAAAAGAACTAATTGCAATAATAGTCCTAATTTTCAAAAAAATGACAAATCGGTCACAATTTATTGTGAACTGAAAAATTTTAAAATTTTCCAAAAAAAAAAAAAAAGGAAATTTGAATGTACAGAGAAATAATAAAAAAATAGAGAAATTTCTGAACCATAGCCAATGAAACTGAAAATCTTCAAAAACGGGTAAGCATAAATCTCAATTTTTATTCAATGAAAAGTAGATGGAAGGTTTGAGGCAAAAATCACGTAATCTTCAAAATTTTTCATTTCCATTGGTTATGATTAAATTAAAAAAATTTCCCCATTTCTTGATTATTTTACTGTATATTCAAGTTTCTTTTCTCTATTTAAATTTTAATTTTTTTTAGTTCACAGTAAATTATGACTAATTTATAATTTTTGAAAAATTTTGGGACTATAGTTGCAATTAATTCTTTATTTTTTCTTTTCTTTTCTTTTTGTTTCATTTCAATGGAGGGTAAAAGCATCAAAAGGACATTTTGTGCAAAGAAATGTGGAAGGTAGGGGCAAAAATGTCAAAAATGGAAGGTAGGTATGTTTTCAACAATAAACTTGAAAGGTCGGGATGTTTTGTGCCAATTACCCTTTCTTCGAACTGAAAACATGAATATTGATGGTGCTATCGACCTCTTATAAGGACTTGTTTCATTTCTCAAAAATTATAGAGAAATCGGATTTATTATTGCCATGGATGAAGCGATGAAAAAGGCAAATGAAACGGGAATTGAAGCTGTATTTCAAGAGAAATGCATAAATCGAAGAAATAGAAGTAGTTTGATGAAAGTGGCAATGATGAGATAAAGCAATTAGCCAAGGAATCTTTTAGTGTTGAATACTTTCTTTTTATAATCAATCAAGCTTGATCTTTTCTAAGGACTTGATTCGAATAATTTAAACAATATGAAGAGATGTTTGGATTTTTATTTTATGTGGAGAGGT